TATACATCTAATTAGGCTCTTATTAAATACAAGTAAAAATGAATATTAATAGAATATTATGTCACTATCAGAGATTATATCTATCATAGAGACTCACAGGGAGAGGCTGAATTCATACAGCACAAAAGCATCTCTCCAGTCTGGAGGACAGACGCAGTAAGTGGCCTGTGGGCTTGGACTTCCTCCTGAAAACTCTGGAAATAATTCACTGATTGATTCATTGATTTGTTGACAGTAAAAATAACTTGTAGGAAATGTTTGGAATAAATCTGACAATGCATACATCCAGGTATCTTATATACTGTTCATAGTACTGACCTTATAGTCAGCCAGAGAGGTTTTAACACTCTCAATGTCCACTGAGGGAGGGGAAAGGACATCCATCTTCTCCACCACCTTGTGCAACCACTGAATCAGTTTTTCTAAATTTGAGCAGAAAGTCTGACAAGAAACAATAGAAGTTAGCTTCCATGTCTCTGGCAGTTAATTCAGTCCAACAGAAGGTTTCGACTCACTTGTAAGTGCTGCAAGACGGACTCCTGGGTCTCTTCCGTCCCCTCATCAGTCTCTGTCTTCTCAAACTCATACAAAGACATTCCACTCAGCTGATCCACAATGGCTTCCACATCCCTCAGGTTATCTCTGGTTACCTGATGGCTGATTACCTGCACTCTAGTATCCACTCCCTTCATCTGCTCTGTGAGAGGAACTTCTTCAGCAGACCCTTGCACATAAGAGACATCAGCTGCCTGTTTCTCCACTCGTACTGATGAAGACCTAACAGAGGCACTCTCCCTCTGCAGAGACTCCCAGTTGGTGGTGACTGGCTGACTTATCTGTGCTGTGATGTCTTTTAGTTTCTGAGAAAGGTCCTGAATCTCCTGTAGCTGTTCAGGCAACTGGAGAAACTCCTCATCACACTCGCCAAGTGACCCCAGACGGGGTAAGATGCTTGTGGACCTGATAAAGGTTGGAGCAGACCTGGATGTGGAAAAGATGCCAAATTTCTTATAGTGAAAGCTGTCTTTCCCCTCACAATCCAGACTTTCCAATGATAAACCCACCTGCTCCATTGAGGAATTCAGGCTTCTAGACACCCTGATGTCCGATGACTTGGAATGTGCCAGTCTCCTCAGATTCGGATTTTGAAATCCAAATGTTTGACTAGAAGCCGGACCAGATCTACCCTGCCTCATTCCAGAAACAGGCTGGTCCAAAAAAGAAAGACTAGAAGAGCTGAGAAAACTGTCCACTTCAATGCCAGAGTCTTGTAAAGGTTGATCAGTTCGCAACTTGTGTTCGTTTGAACTCCAGGTGTTGGTTATGTTGGGCCTTAGAGGGTATGTATAATCCAGGAGGGTCTGATACTCCTTGTCAGGGTCCCAGCTGGGAGACTTGCGGTCTGGAGAGGGTGGTAAGGTACTGGGGATAGCACAGGCCCAGTAAGAGGTTTGATAGTGGGACATTCGTTTAGGTTCAGACAAGTAGCTCTTATTGTTACTCAGAGAAAAGCCAGTGTTCAGAAGAGAATGTCTCTCTTGCTTGGATGCGCTTGTGTTTGCCCTTTGGGAAGTACGAGTTTGGGAAGTGTATGAATGAGGAAAAATCCGCTGGGTCGAAGTCCACTTAGGGCTTAATGGTACTGTAAGGCTCAAATCATCTAAAGGGGAACTAGAAAGGCTCCTACTTTCAACTTTGCTTGCTGAAGGAACGGGGCTGAAATTCGGTTCCTCACGAGAAGAACACAGCCTGAGCTCTGACAAATTCAAGGAAGTACAAAGATCTTCTCTGGTTGCTGAAAGAGAATAATCAATGATCTGGGGAACACTTGTGCTATCCAATATGTTAGAATCTGTCCCTTCATCTTGTTTTTGACAATTTCCCTCAATTTTGCTCATGTGAACCTGTGAAATTAAATAAAATAAGGATTTAATATTTTGCTATGAAACTATCATTTACACAGAATTCCTATGTTATAGCACTACACTATAATACTGTGCACAAGATTATGTAAATTTTTCCTCAGGGTTTAGTCACAGTGTTTCTCTACAATAATGCAAATACCAAGTTGCAAATTGATACACACAGTCAAATCTATAATACTTAGATACACACAGTCAAATCTATAATACTTAGCAACTTATTAATCAAATCCACAAACATTAGAACCTAACTAAATAAAATTTATAACCATTATTAACTTACCCTTTCTGAGTATTCATGTGTGAGAGGATTCTTCAGGATTGAAATCTGGTGCTCTGTTGAGATCAGTGGCTTTCGGGCAGTATACAAGCTCCTGCTGGTCATGTACCTAGAAGTAGGTGCCATGGTAACAGTTTTTTTGCTAGCACCACTCTCTCTGTCGAAGTCCTTAGTGTCCTGGCCATGCAGTGACCCTGATCTGTCCCCGGCTTCCTGTGTGAAGTGTCTTGTGTAGCCACTGCGAATAAACGCTGGGATCCTGCTTTTACGCCTCCCATAGTTCCTCTGCTCCATCTGAGACAAGCTGTCCGATCAAGCTCAGTTAATTCCCAGAGCCATAGGAACACACCGAAACCCTTGTATGCCCCATTTGTTGTCAGTAGGACAGAAGAACTGTCAAAATAAGGTGATAAATAGTAAGGAGTCAACATCACCTGTAAGATACCTATAGGCTTCAAAAAGTTCTATTATGCAGAAGCACATAAGAAACTCAAATCCACGGGACATTGCATGTGAAAAGCAAAATGAGCTTAGTTAAACGTAATGATGAGGCTGCTACTTGATATGGCTCAGCAAACTCATAAAGAGTACATGCTCAGGCTTGCCGGCTATTCAAGTTTAAATTTGCTCTTTGTACACTTCCACAATCGCCAAAAATGTTCCAGGAAACCAGAAGCCATTATAAAGAGAAAGTGTGAAGATGAATATAAATTAACAAATATAAAACATACACAATGAAAATAATAAATAACATTTCACCCACAATCAATTAAATATCCACTATAAGTACTGCATATATCTATCTCCACCAAATCCAACTGCAGTGCCTTTTTATCATGAATTGAATTAAACCTCTGTAGCAGATAGAAGTGCTTGTGGAAGACTACTCTAGCCATTTTCCTGCTTGTTTGGCTCGGTCATTTCAGGTACTTCTGGTTTCCATGGTGAACGACGGAGGATGGCTTGTCTAAAAAGCTGCTCACATGCTGAGTGCAACAAATTGCTTAAAAGTACAATGTACATTGTGCTGCCAAAAGACAAAGGCAAATGGGCATTGCTGTACTGTATGTTTAAATGTGGCCATTTTGCACTAAAGAAAAAAATTATGTTGACTTTTGGGAGTCAGTCTGCTGTAAAATCATGTGTCAGATGTATTGTAGTAGTCACACAGCGAGTAGCATTGCTGCCTCACAGCTCCAAGGTCCTCAGTTCAATCCTGAGCTATGTGTGTGAAGTTTCTGTGCATGTTCTCCTCGAGTCCATGTTGCTTTCCTTTGTGTTGTCTGGTTTCCTCCCACCTTGCAAAAAGAAGGTGGTAGGTGGATCGGCTATGCTAAATTGCCTAGGTGTGAACGAGCATGTGAATGTGTGTGTGTACTGGTGTCCCATCCCAGCTTTGTGTTCAGTGTCCTGGGATAGGCTCCGGTTCCATTGTGACCCTGACAAGGATAAAATAATTGCAGAAGATGAACGAATGAAAAGATATTTGGTCAAATTAAAAATGGCCTACAGGTAAGTCAAAGCGTGAAATGCTGATTTCTCTGTATGTTTGGCTGTGGTAATGCTATTGATATTTGAAGGCTTGGCATTGTAACTACAGTGGAAATACAAACGTGAAACTTTAACTGCTGCATGTAAGGTGTAATAACTCTCATGATGGTGTTGTAAGATGTCTCTGTAGTGTATACACACCTACCACAAGCTACTCTGTCACCCAGAGGTCTGCGTGTTTGGACACCACCATGGCAACTATGGACTGAGAGCACTGGACCAAAATGCAGAGCAGCAAAAATACAGCAAAATCCCCAGTGCTGCATTACCTCTTACAGTGTTCATGTGTGTTCTCTTAGACTTAATTCAACCCTTAGATTTTGCAGTGTATAAATCAGTGCATGATAATCCAGTGGTTTAGTAACTGACCAATCAAAGCCTTTGTAGAAATCAGTATTTCAATCCTATCAGTATTATGATCTGAGTTTATAGAAAACTAGCCTATATTACTGAGGCTGCTACAGACCCACCAGTTTGAGTAGGATAGCTTAGAAACTTTTAAATGTTTAATCTATCACATTCATCATTTAGAGCTGAAACAAGCTTTTAAACATGCAGCACAGAGTAGCGGCAGGTCAGAAACTTTCCTGAGACTAGCAACAGCTAGTGCGTCTTAAATAGCCGGAGCTGATGAAACTGAAAGGTATTCTCACTATAGGCATTATCTGTAAAGGACAAATGACTAAACGGTTAACAAAGGAACATCTGTAGCTTTCACATATAACCGAGAATAGCTGTCATTTGTCACCAGCAGCAACAAACTCTCGAGTTAGTGACAACTACAGTGTATATAGCTAGCATGATTTTTAATGAGCGTAAACTTACTGAACGCACTGAATGTTATCCCGCTTCTGATCATCACAAAGACAGTCTTCGATGTTAGTAGGCAGCCATTTTATGTAGGCTAATAATACAGTGTAAATACCTTTTTTCCCCAGATGTAGCGCAGAAGGAGTTTAAAAAGCTCAGTGTATATGAAATTCACACGCATATAGTGCGTAGCGAAGCGTTCAGCAGTGTAAATACAGTTCAGTCCGGTAGTAAAACGGTTCCTATTAAAGGCAGGCGGAAAAAGCGGAAGAGCTCGCGGCAGCCAGCCAATAGAAACATCAGCCTTCTGCGCCGGCCGGCCATAGCGGAGGAAGTGCTGAGGTTCCTCTTTACTACTTTTGGTTTTTTTATTTACTTTTATATGTTTAGGTAGTCCGCAGATATGCTACTACTACTACTACTATTATTATTATGATGCTGATGATGGTTTAGTGGTTAGCACGCCTGCCTCGCACTTCTGGGGTTGTGGGTTCGAAGCCCACCTCCGCCCTGTGTGCGCAGAGCCTGCATGTTCTCCCCGTGCTTTGGGGGTTCACTCTGGGTACTCTGGTTTCCTCCCCCAGTCCAAAGACAGTCTGTGCTGTAAGCTGACTAGCATTGCCAAATTGTCCGTAGTGTGCAATTGTGCCCTGTGATGGACTGGCACCCTGTGCCCTGAGTACCCTGGGATAGGCTCCTGGTGTTGGATAAGCAGTAGAGAATGGGTGGATTATTATTATTATTATTCTACTACTACATTATGCCAGTCAAGTGGACTGGCCTGCATAAAACCTCCCATGTGAAAACACTGAGAAGGTCTGAATATTAATATAAATTAATATTTTTAAAAAATCCATGTTGAAAATCATAACATCTTATCCAGAATCAGATAAACCAACACTGATACTGCATAGGCTACACTGTACACTAGGCTAAACTAAACTTTCCTTGTCAGTGGTGCGGTACCCTTTTTTTTTTGTACATTTAACCTAGAAATGTGGATCTATTGTAGCTTTGAACAAGCTTACATACATAACTGGAACGTAATTTACTTTTAGAGTAAAGCTTTAAAGGTACACTACATGCACCTTTCTATAGAAAAGATACTAAAGTTACAAAGGGTGTATGCTTGAGGGTACCACTCCAGAGACAAGGAATGGTACAGTTTAGTAGCCTTTTTTCCAACAAATCTCCAACAAATCCAACTGCAGTTCAACTGATTTGCAACTGATTATGAACTGCATCATATTTGGATTTCCATTATGTTCACACACACACACACACACACACACACACACACACACATTTCATGTTATTGTTAGGGAATATTCAATCTGTTTGCAACACCATAGAAAAGACAAGCCACTTTGCTCTTGATTTAATGACATAAACATATCACAGCTGAGAGAAATCAGTAGTAGTTACAGAGTTAAGTCATAGTTTTAAGATTGAATGGTGTATTATCGTACGTACCGGTAATATTATTAACACATACAGTGGTATTAACTTGTTAAACCAGCCAATAGCACTCTTTCCCAATTTGGCAGGCAATGCGTATAGCATCTTGATTAAGATAAATATGTTTAACAAATTTTGTATAAAAGTAACAAAATTATAAGAAATTATGTAAAATCATGTGTTTACCTAGCAGGCATAATTCTCAATACATTCAAAATCCATAGTTTAATGGCCCTTCAAACTTAATTACCTCACATTTAGTTGCAAATCAATACTGAAATTTAAACAAACAACATAGATTTCATTTTGGCTATTAGTGGTCTACTGAATGTTTAAGTGAACTGTAACATCTGAACATAAGTATAAGGAAAAGTTTACTGAGAATGACAGTACTTTCACATTTATAACACTGGGTGTCACTACAGTATCTTACTACAGAAGTGTTTCTGTGACACCCATGAGAAACTGGACATAAATGCCCCTGGAGTATATCCAATGATGCTTTTCTTATTATTATGCCTATTTTCCCAGAAACCAGTGAATCACTGACCAGAAGGCCTAGTCAGATAGTCACTTTGCAATGCAGTCCCCATCAAATCTCAGTGTCCCTAGACCGGGACTCAATTGGCCTGTGATAAGACATTAAGCCATTAGGGAAACAAATATTTACAGTACATGTTTTCTTATCCATCTTTGAAATGGTTAATGTTTCACAGGTGAAGTAAAGATACAGCAAATAAATAGAGCCAGTGAAAGAGGTCAGTCTGTAAATGATTCTCTTCACTATCTTTAACAACTACTCAAAACAGGGAATAGTCTCCATTTTAGACATGTCAAAAATGGAAATTTTGATCATTTCTGATCACTTCACTATCTCATCCATTCTACTGTGCTAATACCACAAAACAAATATACAGTAAGTTTCATAACTTGTAGACAGGAGATACGGGCCGTATTCCCAGATTTTAGAGGAGTAAGCAAGGATTGAGTTTGGAAATGCTTTGAATTGATAAACTGCTTTCAGTGGTTAGAAGACAGTAAGTTTAGAATGTGGACTCCACACCATCCTTTTCATCAGCAGAGTTATATGGGCAGTCATCGCCCAGCTTTTGGTGTGTGACAAGAGGCGAAGTCTCCTCTTCAGCCCGGACATTAGCCACGGCTTCCACTTTAACCTCCTTTAGCTCCTCTTCTTCCTGCTGCCTGTCAGAATGTTTTTGCTTTTTCGTCTCCTGCTCATTTATATGGTGCAAGATCCCAGCACCCAGAGCATCACCTTCTACATTTACCACAGTGGTGGTACGGTCCCTGAAAAAAGAACATGCACACACACACACACGTACATGCACGCACGCACGCACGCACGCACGCACGCACGCACACACACCATACCAATATATAAATAACTTGTTACTAAATTCTCAAGCATGTGATACTTCACACATGATATTTAAAGGGAGTAAGACATCACACAGCAAAATCACACACAAAAATCACAAAAGAGTCTGTGGTTGTAATGTAAGAAATTGTGTATATTGCAAATGTATTTACAGATATGTGATATGATAAATTATAATTACAAAAAATTAATTGGATTCAATCATGTGCAGTAGAGAATAATGAACTTTATGTAGTACAAGATATCTTACACAATCCAGTCCACAGCCAGCATTAGTGACAGATCATTGGTAGGCAGGCCAATGGCTTCCAAAATGATCGCAATGGTGATGATTCCCCCAGCTGGAATGCCCGCCGCTCCAACACTGGATGCTGTAGCTGTCACACTGCAAGACGGACAGAAAAATCTCTTTTACTCTATTCTCTCAATGTAGGTGCAGCAAATCCTAGGACTGCCAAAGAGCCACTGTTGGGCCCTTGAGCATGGCCCTTAACCCTCAGATGCTTGGACTGTATCCTATCTCAATTTTAATTCACTCTGAAAAAAATGAAACAAATGAATAAATATAAAAGTAACTCAATGCCTATCTTCCCTTTTCTTGGTATCTCTCTCACAGATAGCAGGAGTTGAAGAAACTGAGAAGCAAGAGTGGTGCTAGTAAAATTAGATCACTCTTAATAGCACTGGGTTGGCATAAGACAGAGCCTGCATGGGTTGTTTTAACTCCTGGGACAGGAATGCTGCCTAGAACACATTCTCTGTGTCTATTAATATGCCTGGTTACTCTGTCAGAAGCTGTGCCTTCAGTAATGCACTCACAGAATAGTGAAGATCTGGCCTGCGTTGAGCTCGACATTGTTGAGTTGGGCAATGAATACGGCAGCGATGCACTGGAAGATAGCGGCTCCATCCATGTTTACAGTAGCTCCGATTGGCAGGATAAAACGGCTGATCCTTTTGTCCACACCATTGTTCTCCTCAACACATTTAATCATGGAGGGCAGTGTTGCTGAGCTGAGAAAGCAGAAATAACAAGTCAAAATGAAAAGAAGGCCAGACGACAGAGATGAGTAGTACACTATGAGAAATAGAGCATATGGTCACATAAACACGTAACGCTATCTATTACCTTATAATTAGAGAAGTCCTCTATTTAGATTAAACATGTTTTTAATTCAGCACGACCTAGAGCTCGACCTTGAATGATCCCAATAGTTAAAACAGCTCTATTTCCTCTACGAACAGATCAAATGCAGCTAACGGTTTCTACGGTTCCTACATTTTCATTTAAAAGAAGCCAACATCTGGGTAGCATTGTGTTGAAAACCCCAAAGCATGCAAATAAGTTGAATATACAAATCACAACGTGGACTGAAATCTGAGCTGGCACTGAAATCCTGTTTGGGTAAAGAGAACTTGAACTCAGTACAGACTGCAACATGCACAATAGGAATTACCTGGAACAAGTAGCGAAGGCTGTGGTGAAAGGTGTGATCAGGCCAGAGAGGAAGCTGAAGGGGTTTTTGCGGGTGAGCCCAAAGTAGATAAGAGGTAAAACAATGCCGCCATGGATAATATGTCCCAGGATTGAGGCAAAGATGTATTTTCCTAAGCTGGTGACAAGCAGAACCACATCCTCCATCTCCACAATCTTACTGCCTACCAGGAACATGATGCCAACTGGTACATACCTGCAACACACATTGTTATACGGCATGTAAGAAGACGGCATGTACATCACAGGGCATGTTACAGCATTGAAAATTATTTACAGGTTTTTTTAATTGAGGTCATTTTAGGAGATAACTCTCTTTAAAATATTTAAGAGCTTGTCTGTCACAGAGGCAGATGGATGGGGACAAAGTGTGTATGTCCATGACCCATACATTTGCGCAATGACGTTCAACCCAAAACAGTGTTAAGCAAACTTCCTGCCATTACCAGGAATGAATAATGGAAAAGACCATGGACTTTTTGCAAATACAGATTTATTTGCTGTAAATGGCCTGTAAAATGCATTGAAAACATTCTAAATAATTTTCTCCATACCATTCAATAAAAAAACCTGATAATGAAACTGTTTGTAAGCAACTCTAACTCAAATCTCTCATTAAAGAATTGTTAATATTAGAAAATGTTTAGAGATAATTATTGGACTTGGAGCAGTACAGCACAAAAATCAAGGCAGACTGCTTGCATCCACTGTTATCAAGTTGGTCTTTAATCAGAGGGTTTCACTCACCACATGATCCAAGATACCAGTACCATAGTGGCTTCATTGAAGGCGTTAAAGAAACGTATGAGCTCCTCCCCTTCAGCTCCCAGCTTTCTCAAGGCCACTCCAAACACCATGGCAAACAGAACCAGGCCAAGAATGTTCATCCCATCTGCTTCTGTTCCCACTGGCACCTGCAACCAACCACATGTATCTTTAGATATCAGTCTAGTTCAAGGTGCTTACTTTCACAAACATCACTGTGAGATAAACTGTCAGGGAACAAAAATGATCAAAGGAATGTATGTTGAGGTATTAATAGTAAAAAAAAAATCCCATTTTTGAATGTGATTAAAGAACATTTCTGAAAGTGATATAAATTTAGACATTTATTTCACTTGCCTCCAAGAACGTTTCGGGTCTCCTTTTGTTTATTTT